AAAATATTCTTATTGGTTTCAGAGAGAGGAAGGGAGAGGGAGAGAGAGATAGAAACAACGATGAAAAACATCTATCAGCTGCCTCCTGCACATCTCCTACTAGGGATCAAGCCTGCAACCTGAGCATATGCCCCGATGGGGAATCAAACTGTGACCTCCTGGTTCATGGACCAACGCGCAACCACTGAGCAACACTGGCTGGGCTTGGGTTGTTTTTTTTAAATCCTCAACCGAGGATATGTTTGTGGTGTGTGTGTTTTTTAATTGATTAGAGAGAGAGGAAGCGAAGAGAAACAGAGAGAAAGAGAAATATCAATGTGAGAAAGAAACGTAGATTGCTTGCATCCTGTATAAGCCCAGGGGATTGAACCTGAAACCCAGGTATGTGACCTGACCAGGACTGGAACCTGCAATCTTTTGGTGTACAGGATGATGATCCAAACAACAGAGCTACCCGGCCAGGGCTGTTTTATTGCTGCTGTTTTTAAGTCTTTGCCCACTGAACTCTTACCCATCCTTCATATTCCAACTTAAATATTACTCTTAATAAAAAAACAGCTCGTTACTCTCTTTTATAGCAGTCCTTTTTTCCCTTCACTGCATTTGTCATAATTTGTAATTAGACACAGATAATTTATATTTAATATCTGTGTCCCCTCTAAACTCCATAGGAGCAGGGGCATGAGTTTTGTTGTTTTGGGGTTTTTTTTTAACCTTGTACATTCAAGGTCTGGCACAGTGTTTAGGACATAGTAGGTTTTCCATAAAACTGAATGACCCAATAAATGAGTACAATTAGTCTGCGGCCAATTCTCAAATGGTGCAACCTCGGGACTACTACAAACTCAGAAGGGTGCCACAGGATACTTCAAATGTTTGTGGGAAATACAGCAACATTCAATATAAAAACACTGTGTGAATTACAAGCTAAAGATAGTTCTCAGAGTCAACATTAGATCAGAATAGATGCCGTTTAATATCTTCATCTCTTCGTAAAAAGTTTTTGACAGCTGCTGTGATAAAAAGCAAGTACTGTGCAAAAATCAATTTGGAACAAGAAGTGGGAGTGACAGTGTCAATCTTGATTCCAAGGTTTGAGAAGCTAGGCAGTGCCCAACAAGGCCATACAAGTCATTAATAAGTAATTATGGTTATTTAAAAATGGCTTTCTTTTAATTTATGCTTTTCATTTCTTTTCTTTTTTTTTTCCCTTTCCCAGCTGTAACTCCAGACAGGATCCAAAGAGGAGTTTTGCCATCTCTTCTCTGGGTTTTATCGAGACTTACTTTTTACCCTTCTGTGTTAGCACCTTAAGGCACTGCGTATGTTTTCTGTTATTAAGTTGTTATAACAAAAATACTTGTTATGTTGTTTAGATCTAACCATTTAATAACAAAACTGCTAAGTATTTCTTTTGGTTTATGGGTGTCATAGAAAATTTATTGAGAATAATAAGTGTTGAGGAAGATACAAAGAAACTCAAACCCTTATACACTGCTGGTAGAAATGTCAAATGGTATAGCCATTATAGAAAACAGTATGGCAGTACCTCAAAAATTTAAATGCAGAATTACCATGAGATCAGCAATTTCATTTCTGGGTATACACCCAAAATAATAAAAACCAGGGACCCAAACAGATATTTATAAACCCATGTTGACTGTAGCATTATTTACAAAAGCCAAAAGGTATAAGCAACCCAAGTATCTATCAATGGATGAATAGATAAACAAAATGTGGTAAATGCTTTCGATGGAATACTATTCAGCCTTAAAAACGGAAGGAGGGGTGGTGGAGGTAGAAGAGGGCAGAGAGGGGATAAACAGTGATGGGAAAAGTAAATAAACTTTTTTTTTTTAAAGGAAAAATAGATGCATCTAGAGGACACTATGCTAAATGAAATAAGCCACAGTCAGCCCTGGCTGAGTAGCTCAGTTGATTGGAGCATCATTCCGATACACCAAGATTGGGGGTTTGATTCCTGGTCAGGGCACATACAAAAAACAACAAATGAATGTATAAATGGATAGACCAACAAATCAATGTTTCTCTCTCTTCCCCTTCCTCTCTCTCTAAAACTCAATAAAAATAAATAAATAAGCCACAGTCACAAAAGGACAAATACTATAAGATTCAATTCTGCTTATATTAGATGCCCAGAGTAGTCAAACTCATAAAGACAGAAAGTAGAATGGTATTTGCTGGGGCTGGTGGGATGAAGAATGTGGAGTTAGTGTTTTATGGGAACAGAGTTTCAGTTTGAGATGATAAAAAAGTTTGGAGATGCATGGTAGTGATGGTTATAGAACAACATGTACAAACTTAATGCCACAGAACTGTATACTTAAAAATGAGTAAAACTGTAAATTTTATGTTATATATATTTTACCAGAATAATTTTTTTTTACTGAGATACTAAGAGCACCATAAACTAAAAAAGTTTGGGGACCAAGTGATTCAATGTCCATAGAGTACCCAGATGACTGTTGGTATTTATTTATTCAAATTAAAACTTACCACTTATTCCCAATCAGCATGATAACCATGTTGGAACTAGAGTGCTGCCGGGCATCCTCTAACCATGAGGTCAGGTGGTTGAAGGTTTCACGCCTACAGTAGAAAAGTTTAGAAAGTGGGTCTGAGGCCCATTTCAAAATGCCAAAGAAATTCCAATGTATGGGAAGGAGAAAAGATAGATGTGTAAAGAAAAATATTAAGATGCCATTCCTCTTTAGCATTCCAATTTTGAGAACAAAGAGATCTGACTCACCTTGTAATGTCGTACACCAGCAGTGCTCCAGCTGCTCCCCTGTAGTAGGAACGGGTGATAGAACGGAAGGATTCTTGCCCAGCCTTTCCCACCAACATGCCAACAAAAAAAATCCCAACAAAGCAAGGTTATTTCCAGAGAACTGACTTGATCACATGCTTAATAGTTTAAAAAATTCCTGTAAGAAAAGGGAATTAGTGAAAGGAAACATGACTGCCCATGGAGAAAACCAATATTTTTCAAAGGGAATGCAATTGATATTTCGAATGGGTCAATTATTCCTGTGAGACCACCTATCAAGTTGTTGACTAACATTCTGGTTGCTAGGCACTAAATGCCAGTTACACCCCCGCAGTCAATGTGACAACCAAAGACATTTACCAATATCCACTAGAATAACTAGAAATAGGACTAGAACTCAGTACATGTACTGTCAATCCAAACATGATATTGAACACATCACATTAACCTTTCTTTTCTGTTTCTGTTCCTTTACCTATAAAAAAAAAATTATCTTAAAATGCTAATACCCTGTCAAATGAAAGTTTCATTTCAATGAATCAATACAGAATATTAGTCAGATACAAAGCACTTGAACAGGGAAAGAAGCCCAGGGCCCAGAACAGAGTTTTCCTTAAAAAAAAAAAAAAAAAAAAAAAATTTCAACTGTTCACACTCTAATTTCCAGTTAGAATCAAGATACTAAGTTTTATTTATAAATGATTAATTTGTTAATGCCTCCACATAATGGGTACTTTTGTTTTCCTGATGGGATTTCCCCCCCTCCTTATAGGAAACAAAAGCATCTTTTAAATAGAAGTATGAATAAAACAATAATTGAATCTATAATATTAGTAGAGTTTTCACATTCTTGAAATCAATTAATCTCATATTCCTACATGAAGATTGGGTGCCCTGACAAGATAGCTGTTGGTCAGAGCATCATCTTGATACTCCAAGGTTGTGGGTTCCATCCCTGGTCAGGGTACATACAAGAGTCAAACAATGAATGCATAAATAAGTGGAACAACAAATCGATGTTTCTCTCTCTCTCTCAAATCAATAAATAAATTTTAAAAAATTAAAGCTTGGGACGGAAGGCTACTATTCATATTTTAAAGATGGAAAAACTAAAATTGGACATGGGAAAATAAATGACTTTCTCATAGTAGAATGACAATATGATACCAGTAATACCACAAATGAAAAAAATGAGGTTCAAAGCGGTAAGTTCAGTAGCTGGCCAAAAATTATAAAGTTTATAAATGCTGAATCTATAGCTTAAACTTAGTATCATAATACTTCCTAGCACAAAAGTTTGTTCTCTTGGTCATGACATCATATAATCTAAACCCGGGTTTGAAGATGAGAAGAGAATTCCAGTACACTAATTGTAAGGTTACTTTTCCAACAACACTAAATCTCTTTCCAATAAGAATCATTCAAATGTTTTTTTGAGTTGCATACCTGTTAGAACAGGGGTCCTCAAACTTTTTAAACAGGGGGCCAGTTCACTGTCCCTCAGACCGTTGGAGGGCCAGACTATAGTTTAAAAAAAAACTATGAACAAATTCCTATGCACACAGCGGTGGCAAAAACACCCGGCGGGCCGGATAAATGTTTTCGGCGGGCCGCATGTGGCCCACGGGCCGTAGTTTGAGGACCCCTGTGTTAGAACATTAGAATCCAAAAATAATTCTAAAGAATTTGTTGGTAATATTAGTAATAATTTAAGATTTAAAACACATGTTTTCCTTCCAAGAACTCAATGCTTTATTCTCTAACAGTTTTTTAAGATATGTTTGTATTGATTTTTTAGAAAGAGGAAGGGGGAGAGAGACAGAGAGAGATAGGTAAAGAGAGAGAGAGACAAAGAGAGAGAGAGACAAAGAGAAAGAAAGAAAGAAAGAAAGAAAGAAAGAAAGAAAGAAAGAAAGAAAGAAAAAGAAAAGAAAAGAAAAGAAAAGAAAAGAAAAGAAAAGAAATGAAGGAGGGAGGGAGAGAGGGAGGGAGGGAGGAAGGAAGGAAGGAAGGAAGGAAGGAAGGAAGGAAGGAAGGAAGGAAGGAAGGAAGGAAGGAAGGAAGGAAGGAAGGAAGGAAGGAAGGAAGGAAGGAAGGAAGGAAGGAAGGAAGGAAGGGAGGGAGAAAGAAACACCCCAACTGGGAAACAAACCCGCAACCTGGGCATGTGCCCTGACTGGGAATCAAACCGGCAACCTTTCAGTGCATAGGATGATGCTCAACCATCTAAGCCCACTCTGGCCTGGGGCCCTAATAGTTTTGTCTTAAATTTATTCCTGTTTTGCTTTTATCTCTTACTGACTTTTTCTCCTCTATTGTTGAAAGACCCTCCTATCCTGTGGCCTAGTAGGAACTAACAGGGAAAGTTTGAGGGACACCCACATGATGGTTGAATTATATGGTAGCATTTAACTTTAGCAGCTGAAAATACTTACAGTGGGTCATCAGAATATGTCTTTTAAAATCAAATCACACCCTAGCCACTTTGGCTCAGTGGATAGAGCTTTGGCCTGCAGACTGAAGGGCCCCAGGTATGATTCCAGTCAAGGGCACATGTCCAGGTTGTGGGCTCAATCCCCAGTAGGGGATGTGCAGGAGGCAGCTAATCAATGATTCTCTCTCATCATTGATGTTTCTATCTCTCTTTCCCTCTCCCTTCCTCTCAGAAATCAATAAAAATATGTTTAAATAAATAAATGAAATAAAATCACTTCGTCTCAGCCCAGTTTATGAATCAAAGTTTGTGAGCTAATAAGCTAGAAAGACTGGTTCAAGTTGGGCTGGTCTGCATCAGTCTGAGGTACCTTGCCCATCCCAAGTAAAAAATCTGAAGGAGCAAAGACTAAGATGGAGGTCTGATAAAGAGAATTAAGTTTTCTAATTTCTTCCAAGTGGAAGCATATTGTACTTTCAAGACATATACTTGGAAGCATAAATTCCTACAAAGTCAGATACGCTCATTTCCTAAGAACCAAAGTGCATTCCAAAATAAAATACAAATTAATTTGGGATTATTTAATTAATATTTTATATTAGCTATAGTACAATGCCTCTTCAGTTAGCATGGTTATTTGGGCAAATATAGATAAAGAATGAAGAAAGATAAAAAGTAATATGGCCCTAGCTGGTTTGGCTCAGCTAATATGCTAATTAGACCGGACATCTTCTGGACAAAGCCATGGTGGCGGGGCCGAGGCAGAGGCAGTTAGGGGTGATCAGGCCAGCAGGGGAGGGCAGTTAGGGGCGATCAGGCCAGCAGGGGGGAGTCAGCAGGGGAGCAGTTAGGGGTATTAGGCCAGCAGGCAGAGGCAGTTAGGGGCGATCAGGCAGGCAGGCAGGTGAGCGGTTAGGAGCCAGCAGTCCTGGATTGTGAGAGGGATGTCCGACCACCGGTTAAGGCCCGCCTAAACTGGCAGTCGGACACCTCCCGAGGGGTCCCAGATTGGAGATGGTGCAGGCCGGGCTGAGGAACCCCACCATGCACGAATTTCGTGCACTGGGCCTCTAGTAAGTAAATAAAAATAGAGATTTTAGCTAAACATTAGGAACTATGTGGTAGCTCCCTTTAACTTAAAATAGAGACTAGAATATTATTTTTCTTAGGGAAAATAAAAGTACAAACCAAATGAGATAATGTATATGAAAGCAATTTATCTGGATAAAATTACACAAAGTCAACTAAATTTTGGCAGGATAACATTTGTCAAATTTTAAAATATGCATAACCCTTGACCCAGAATTTCCATTTCTGGGCAGGTATACCACAGAAATCCTCAAATATCTGAATATAGATGTAGTAAATAAGAATAAACAATGAAACTTTGCAATTTTGGTAACCACCTAAATTTCCATCATGGGCAATGGTTAAATTAATGATGGTACAGACATTCTATGATTCTATGCAGTGGTTATAAGAAGTGAGGAAGATCTATATGTATCAACATGGAAAAATCTCCACAACATAGAGATTGTTTATAAAACAAAAACCCAAGTCACAAAGCAAGTCTACTTTGTCACAATTCTAAAAACAAAATAAAACCACTACCATATATTTGTTTATGTTTCTATTTCTGTATTTAAATACAGAGGAAAAGTGTGAATCATTAATAATGGTTTACTCTGGCAAAGTAAAAAACCAACATTGGGAAGGAGAGAGCTTTATGTGACATTTACTTCTGATTCTGTACCCTTATATGGTTGGCTTTTATTTTCACTAGAACAAACATATATATTACTTGGGTAATTTAAAACAAAAAATTAAAAATATGGCATTCAGAATTTGTAACTGTAACAGAGGGAAGTGAAAGCTTCCCTAGCTCTTTGATTTCATTCTTCCCCATTAGCCCCACCCACGAAGCCCCTTCCATGCTCATCGGCCTTTAGTGTTATATTTGGATCTTGGTTACAAACTAAATTACTTTGTCCTCACCGTATCCCAGATTTGCAGTTTGATTTGTTTTCCATCAATGTTGACCATACGGGCCCCAAACTCCACACCTGTCAGTGAAGACCAAGAGAAAGAATGTGATTCTCATGAACAGCCATGTTAAGTGAGAAGTTCCTCTTTTCTTCAATATGCTAATGACTTTGCCCTCAATGCCACTAAACCCATTATCACAGCCTGTTTGCTCCAATTAATTTGTGTTCCTTGAAGTTTCATTTCTAAAATTAAAAACTGTTCTAGGTGATAATAACCTCAGAAACGTAACCAAGGAACAGATATGAGGACAAAACAAAGTAGAAAAGGTGAATAAATTTTTAGCAATATTACTTCATGTTTAAGATTGATTAGGTAATGTTTAATTTTGTAATTTTTAAAAAAAATATATTTTATTGATATTTTACAGAGAGGAAAGGAGAGGGATAGAGAGTTAGAAACATCGATGAGAGAGAAACATCGATCAGCTGCCTCCTACACACACCCTACTGGGGATGTGCCCGCAAGCAAGGTACATGCCCTTGACCGGAATCGAACCCGGGACCCTAGAGTCCGCAGGCCGACGCTCTATCCACTGAGCCAAACCGGTTAGGGCTAATTTTGTAACTTTTAAAAAAAAACTTCTAAAAATTCTGAAAATATTTCCTAGCATTTTCTCAAAGTCATTCTTTAGTCCTCTATATAAAACAATATTTCTGTTTTTGCAATTCCAGAATTTTTTGTTTGACAAAGAGCCTACCTAAGAAATAGGTTCTTGCCGAAACTGGTTTGGCTCAGTGGATAGAGCGTCGGCCTGTGGACTGAAAGGTCCCAGGTTCGATTCCGGTCAAGGGCATGTACCTTGGTAGCGGGCACATCCCCAGTGGGAGATGTGCAGGAGGCAGCTGATCGATGTTTCTAACTCTCTATCTCTCTCCCTTCCTCTCTGTAAAAAAAATCAATAAAATATATTTTTTAAAAAAGAAAAGAAAAGAAATAGGTTCTTAAGAATGATACATTTAAGACCTCCAAAAATTCTCAAGAGTTCACTAGAAAATAGCTTTCCTCATAGGAGTATGGAAACTGACAGTCTGAATAAAGGTTCTGGTTTTCCTGGCGTCTATCTTCTTTCAAGGTAACGTCAAGACAAAACTTAAAAATCAGCCCAGCCAGTGTTGCTCAGTGGTTGAGCGTCACTCTATGAACAAGGAGGTCAGAGCACATGTCTAGGTGGTGGGCTCCATCCCCAGTGGGGGGCTTGCAGGAGGCTGATCAATGATTCTCTCTCATCACAGATATTTCTATCTCTCTCTTCCTCTCCTTTCCCCTCTGAAATAAAAATTTAAAAATAATAATAATTTTAAAAATAAAGAATAGTGATAGCTACTGAAAAATGTCCCTATTTTTCCCCCCTTTTTAGAAAATAGGAATGGAATTTCAATGAGGAAGGTTAAAAAACAAACACAAAACTTCATCTCCTTTTATGCAACTTTCTCTATTTAGAAACTCAGAGATGCTTATATTTTGCATATGTTTTCTATCCAACTGCCTTGTTTATCTTGGTACAGAAGACTGAATTTATCTTGGTACTGAGGAAAGAAACAGAGCCTGTAATGGACTCTGGGGAAAACATGATTGATCACATCATTCTTCAGATTTAAAACTTGTCATTTCCACCCTAACCGGTTTGGCTCAATGGATAGAGCGTAGGCCTGTGGACTCAAGGGTCCCAGGTTGGATTCCGGTCAAGGGCATGTACTTTGGTTGTGGGCACATCCCTAGTAGGGAGTGTGCAGGAGGCAGCTGATCGATGTTTCTAACTCTCTATCCCTTTCCCTTCCTCTCTGTAAAAAATCAATAAAATATATTTTTTAAAAAACCAAAAAACTTGTCATTTCCTCCTATTACTCGGGGTATTTCAAAACTTAGTCCCTAATTTATTCTTTACCTTTCATTTATACCACTCTTCACTTCAAACTCTATGCTCCAGCCATATTAAACTACTTTCACTTTTCCAAAGGTAGCCAGGTCTCCATCATTCCTGAGCCTTTGCATGTTATTATTCCCTCTTGCCCTGATCACTTCTCAACCTCATCTCTACAACCCCTTTGCCTAGCTAACTCTTGCTCATTCTTCAAGTCCCAGCCTTTCCTGAGAGAGGTGAGTCTCTCCTTCCCTTTTGCAATAGGAATGCACTTGTCAATACACGGTATCTACTCCCAGCTCCACCTCCTACATTGGAAGACTGTAAGCTACTTAAGGGCAAATTTTGCCTTGGTAAGCACTGCATCATTAGCACCTATCATGGTGTGAGTGTCCACTTAATATTCATTTCCAAAAATATTTTCCTGTTGATGCTATCCTCTAAGTCCTTTTGTAACCACACTAGGTATTTGGCTCTGGGTTAAGTTCTTTGGAAGCAGTAGTAGCTACAGATTTCCATAACCTGGGGCTTGGAGGTGGCAATATGGTAAGAATGGGAGTCAGGGATTTTATTCAGAAACTGCATTTGCATGGCAAGAAGGCTAGTTTTATACATTTCTTTGTCTGGGGTGAAGTTATGGGAGATTATGGGGATGGGAATACGAAGGCCCCAGCAGGCCATGCCTTATCCCAAATGTGTGGGAGATGTTTATACCTTCCAGGATCACCAGTGCATTTTTTGGAACCCTAATATACTCCTTTCTTTATAAATTATTAGTTTCAGCTACCTTTTAAGTCTGGGGTGGCTCTTCCATTTGCTTCTTCCTCTCCAACACACAAAAAGACTACACATTAAGCCCTAGCCGGTTTGGCTCGGTGGATAGAGCACCGGCCTGCGGACTGAAGGGTCCCAGGTTCGATTCCAGTCAAGGGCATGTACCTTGGTTGCGGGCACATCCCCAGTGGGAGGTGTGCAGGAGGCAGCTGATCGATGTTTCTAACTCTCTATCCCTCTCCCTTCCTCTCTGTAAAAAAATCAATAAAATATATATTAAAAAAAAAAAGACTACACATTGGTAATTACTTTACAAAACCTACGTGGGGCTACCCGTAATTTCCGGCAGAGCGAGTGTGTAAATTATGCTTTCGTGCGATTTTCCATAAACATTCAAATTGCGTTTGGGGGGAAAAAAATCCTACAGCAACTAATTCATACCTCACGCTCACTTCTAAAGTTACCTTTCAATGATTTACTCCCCATTCCACTATTCCCCATTTACGGCATGTGATCGGTCACTCTTCATGTAATATAACTTTGGACTAGTTTAAAAGGAGGGAAAGCGAACTTTTTACTTCCCACCCTGACGGCGGCTCACTTTCCTCTTTAGCTCGTCGGGTTTCACTCTCTGCTCCGGGACAGGCACAGGCACTTACCTATGGTGAGGTCGTGGACAGGCTGGAACCGCTTGTCCGTAAACTGCAGGAGGAGACATGACTTCCCCACACCTAAGAGAGGAGGACGCACAGCCTAGCCTTCGCGCGGCCGGGGAGCAGCCCCGAGTCCGGGTGCCGGGGACTGGGGACTGG